CTGAGAAAATAACCAGGTTCTGGAAACTGTACTAAAAATTGTCTGTTCCACAAATCAATGATGTTTTCTTCAAGAATTAAATAATAACAAAACTAACTCTTTTTATAACCTTAAAAAAACAATGCAGTCCCTTGTTTTTCACTTCCAAAGATGTTATTTTTCCAACTGGTCCTTAATGCTACTTGTATGCATCCTCTGTCCTATGCAATGTTGTCAGACTTTACGATTTCCAGTGAAAGATAGAACTGTCCCTGTTCAATATGGCTGACCTCAACGACAGTTTTCCCAGCACAGTGTGTAATGTGGGCATGTCTCTCCATAGCAACTGTCTACCGCAGACAACACAGCTCCTGGCAAATCAGCGCTTCCTGAAACAGGAACAATTTAAGACAATGATTTTTTTCATATATTTACTGGATCAGATATGACACAACTTATGATCTGCAGAAAATTACCCTTTTTTTAATATATATATCCAAATGTTTCATGAAATTATCCAATCTTTCTTTACACAAAAGTGTAAAGAGCCTATGAAAGTATCAATGTTGCACATAGTGCCCAGGATATTATATTTGTAATGTGTCTCTTTATTTGTTTCTTAAATAACAATTTTCATTTCAAAAAAATTAAAGACAATTACAATTATATCAGTATTTTAATTTGAGTGCATATTTAAAAAATGTCAGTCTTCCAGTTCTAATTTACATCTCTTTGTTTTACAAATTTCACCTCATTCTTTCACCAATACAATATATCCACATTACAAGCAGACATACCCCTATATACCCACTAATACTGAATACTAAAGCCACATACCAATATATGAATAATTGTGATGTACTAACAAAAATAAAGCCAAAGTTTCAGCACAGACTAAGCTTCTGCATTTTTAAATCTCCATAAATCTGAACTTCACTATGTTTAAGTGAAGTTTACTACACCAATCACATGTCTTTTAACTGTTACACAACATTTTCATTGATAAAAGAACCAGATGACCAAAAGGGGCATTTGTGCTCAACAAAGTAAAACTGAAATCAAACACCCTGCTGAAGGTAAAATTCTATCAGACACATATGGTGATGTGAAAATGAAGAAGCTGGTACCCTGGGGACCTGAACCTCAGGGTATGGCTGCCATACCAATAGTGCAAATGAACCACTAACAATTAACACTTGTGATTACTATGAATGACCTATTTGTCCAGGTTTTTCTTTTTTTTTTTTTCTTTGTTTGCCGTATACACTGAATATTAACTTTTCTTTGGCCAAGTTGGGGCGTAAGAAAATTTAGAGCCACAGAATAAAAATAATAAACATTGCAATAAATAATAGTTATAAGCATGCAAAATTTCAACACTGTTGACTGCTGTCTATATAATATATATATATATAAATCATAAATAATAATAATAATAATAANCGCATACGAGATGGATGCGAGGGAGGACCTTAGACAGATAGACATTTTGATCACGGGGACGACGGTGTTCTTTGATTATGTGTAAAATATCACACATCGGTTGCGCTTCAAAGGAACAGCAAGTGGATCTTATGTCAGCCACATGCGCCACGTTTGCAGTGATCGGCGTAGGTGGACGCGGATATCAAATTTTCTTCGTGAGACGGGAAACTGTAGCTCGAGTTCAGCGACAACAATGGGATCAAAGTGTTATTTGTGCAGGCGATTTAATTTGATTATTTATATGACCCCGCCCTTGTGTCCGATGCCAAAGTGTGAACTTAATACCTGATTAAGAATGGACAATATTTACTTTGACAATTTAGGGCCCCTTTCCATGAGGTGTCAATCACATCATGTGCCCTGAGTTTTGTAGCTATGCCCAGTGCTTTGAAATCCACAGCCTCAAGAATCCAATTTTAATTTTTCCAACAATATGGCTTTCTGTAAGTGAACAACGATATGAACAAATTCCTTCGTGGTGTAATGAAGATAAATCGAAATCCTCAATCTTTTTTTTCGTCAGATAATCGGACTGTTAAATCCGACTAAAATAAGTTTACTGGATGCAAGATTTAATATTCTTAACATTGAAAGAAAGGGTCCTACTTGAAAGGCATCATTTACCCAATTCATAGCTTGCGCTACAAGAGCAAGTGCTGAAAACATAGGCAAATTTCTATCACAATTGTGTTGAAAGGGAATGAAAGAAAATCGAAGGTAATAATTATCAATTACTATACTAATGGTAAAAACAAAATGATGAATGTGGTATTTAGCTTTCTTTATATTTACAATTCTTCTTCTTCTTATAAAGATCATGGGTAAAATTATCGTTTGTTGATTTTGATATAATAATAATAATAATAATAATAATAATAATAATAATAATAATAATAATAATAATTATTATTATTATTATCATCATCATCATCATCATCATCATCATCATCATTATTATTATTATTATTATTATTATTATTATTATTATTATTATGTGAATCTCTCCAGCTCGTAAATGTTTTTTGGGTCTTTTTTTGTGTCAGCTGCTTCCTGCAGCTCAGACACACAGCACTTTTCGCAATATGTAAGCTGTTCCAAGTATGACCGAAAATTGTTGTTGTTCTTCTTCTTCTTTTTCTTCTTCTTCTTATTATTATTATGCCAGAGTCACGAGTATATACATGTGGATTCTTAAAAGAGACAATATTTTACTTAGATACTCAGGGAGCAGTAGAAGTGACGTCGACGTTACTCAAACGTTCCGTGAGCAGGTATCTTTTGCAAAGAGTTCTCAGAGCCTAATAGTATATGTTTTACCTTGAGAGATGAAAAGTTAGTTTCGGATTGAAATATACTGTTTTTCGATAAACATGAATAAAAAAAGAGACATTGGCGTAAGACACACACAGTATGACGATAGGCAACAAAGACGATCTAAGCATAACCGTGCAAGAACAAATGCGATAAAATGCCTTCTGCAACACGAAAATCACAACTTTGTTATAATCAATCATGTTTAAAAATCAATAAATCATCACCATAGCTTTCGATTTCTGTTAAAAACCATTAACAATAAGCTTTAAAATGACTTTGAGATAATTTTCTCAAAACGTTCTGAGAATGTGATTGCGGTTAACATGACTCAAAATGCTGACGTGGTAGATGACGTAATTGACTTAATTACATTCTGCTTCCTGAAAGTGAAAAAGCAATCACGCCATCCTTAATTGAGCCTGGTGGGTGGAATCCTATTTGTAATAAGAAGCAAGAAATGTTTCCTTTGCCGCATTTTTCAGGTGTAGGTTAGCTACATTTATTGAATTCTTCAATTACATCAAATAAACAAACATATTTTGATATGTGGGGAAAGTTACTAAACTGAATCTCGCGTTAATAAAATGTGCTCAATTTTAATTCAATTTGAATATTAAAAGAGCAAAATAAAACGTTAAAAATGCGGACATGTCCGAGTGCTAGGTGAGAGTGATCTTGTTTTCTTACATGACACCCCTTTAACTTCCAGCTAAGAGTATAAAAAAGCTTACGGTCAACAACCACGGATATCTATTTATTCGCCGATATCCTAACCATTTATACTCGTGGATCCTGTTAAAAATATGACACAAACCGAGTTCAGATCTTTGGACAGCTGATGACGCTATACACGTAACGTAAATACTCCCCCCCCCCCTTGAAAATAAATTAAATTTAAAGATATCGACTGTAAGTTATATTGATATTTGACCTAGACAAAGCGGTTAAGGTCACTTGTCAGTTTCTGTACATTATCACATATAACACAAGTCAGTCTGTAGTCACATGTAGTTCAAATACGTTTTATTGCTTCAGAAGATGAAGAGCGCAGGGTTTTTTTTTAAATGTCACGAATGTCACAAATAAAACCCATCAATACAACAAGGCTTCATCCAAGCCTACTGACCGTCTTTCACAAGACTCCTAATTCCATGAAAAAAAGATAATCGAAGAAAACACAAGGTTACCGTTTTCATGCCTTAACACATACAGTCGTCCGACCTAAAATGAGAGGTTTCTAGATTCTACACTTACATCCCATATATCTATTCATTTTTAAATCCATTTTAGCATTAGATTTCATTGTGAACAGTAATGCTAACTACTAATTTTAATTCAATCTTCATAAGATCTTCTACCACTTTAACAGCCAAAATGCGCATATTTCAACTGAAGGAGTGCCATTTAAAAATCGTACTTATCTCCAGTCTATAATCAACTTGGTGACAGAAAAGCACACCACAGTTCATTGACAGGGAAAAGGGCAGACCTCTTGAAAGTCTTTTCCTTATTTTCTCTTTTTCACATCTTTCATTTGGCACTAAAGCAAATGTCATGTATTCAACTGTAGGTTGTCATTATATGATATAATGATAAGCTTCGGCTTCATGATAGGAACCCAACAAAGCAAAATGACATTCAACTAGCTGAAAAGAATTAAAAAATAAAAACAACAAAACAGCAATAAAATACCAAAGCAGCTAGGCATTTTTTAACTAAGGCTCAAAGACAAAATTATTCTACCACTGAAATGTGAGTGAGAAGGAGATGCTAGTCTGCTAAATAACATAACAGGAGCCATAGATTACAATTTTACAATCATTTTAAGAATCAAAAAAATCTTTCTTTTTTTTCTAGTTTTCAGTTGAAGTGTTATCTATAAAGTGTACTTCTAAACATGTGACACCATGTAAAAAACAACAAAAAACATGTTCTTTACTAGTATGAAAATAGACTGACATTAATGTAAACAACAAATAGTAAACAAAGCTTTGCCCCTGATGAAAAAAAGCTGCCATAATATTAAATTCCAAATAAAAGTGTCTTTTTCATAAGTCAATTCATGGTTCCAAGGCCAAAACTGGAGGGGGATGTGGG